TCATTCATTCATTCATTCATTCATTCATTCATTCATTCATTCATTCAGCCTTTATTTATACAGATTATTCCCATTGAGACTCAGGGACTCATTTACAAGAGAGACCTGATGTTAACAAAGAATGATGACAACAGTAGACAATCATAAAATAAAGCATACTAATTGAGAAGCACAAATGAAAGAAAATGGTATTTAAAAATATTTTTTAAAAAAACATCTAGATTTAGATGGATGCATACTCTATGTCATAACTTAAAGGGATAAGATGGTGGTTTATGCAGATTAACCTTCACGCCAACATCAGCTTAGATTACACCGTTTCATTTGTAAGTGCAAACAGCAGCACAAGTGGCTAGCTGTGGCACACTGGCTGAAGCTTGGGACCTTTATCATGTCATATTTCATTTCTGACAGAACAACAGTGTAAAGTAAAACTGAAGGTGGTGTAAAGACTTTTTTTGAATAGTCTGTCGTTGGAAAAAAAAACATTCTACTTTGGACTTTGCCCCCATTTCAACTAGTTTTAGCTCATAAATCCAGTACAAAATACATTGTATTTACCCAAACGGAGGTTGTTTAAAGAGCTATCTATAACAGGTAAGACATTGATCAACATTTCCACTTAACCCCAATAGAAAATATGTAACTATTCCTTTAATTATAAGACTTTTTTTTTTGTTTGTTTCTGTCAATTAAAAAAAAACGGATTTCAAAACAGAAAATGTTTTCTTCTTTAGAAAAGTTTTAATTTGGTGCATGAAAGGAGAAGCTTCTTTCTTTTGTCATCACACAAACATTTCCTCGCTTGAAAGCTGTGTATCGACACTCCAGCCAACACACCTGCTGAACATGGCTGTGTGCTTTATTACATCTTATTTTGACTGACAGCACAGAGATGTCTATAATACCAGGCCTGGCACCTTCCTGCAGCTACTTTAGGGGATGATGACAACCACATCACAGACATCCACACAGAGGTCCCAGTAATGGGCGCAGAAAGAACAGTAGCTCTGTCTCTTTTTGGACACTAATAACTTCCATGCCCACAACACCACAGCAAGACAAATGGTGACTGTCTGCATATGAAGCAAAACCATCAAACTGCACAGTCAGACCAGGCTTATTAGAGAAAACGCCGCCTTCCTGCAGGCTGTAACAAAAGGGAGCAGTGCAGTGAAACACCGTCCTTCTCTGCCTTGGTGTTTGAGTTATGATCACACTAATGGCAAAAAGACCATTAATGGGAGTCTGTGGAGCACATGGGACAGATCAGAGGGCCACAATTTACCCCTGCTCGACAGACTTCCCCTGCAGCATCGACACGCTTAAAAAAGGAATAAGTTAAGGTTTCTTCCCGATTCTTTTCCTCAGCACATATCTGTAATTTATTTTGATGCACTTCTCTGTGATGATGTTCAACTCATTCATCTAAAATAAGACTTGTGGGGCATTTCTGCCTTTGAAATCACAGTTTGTGGATTTTCTAAGATAAAAGGACATCAGTTCTCCTTCAAATAAGCCCATCTTAGATCACAACAGCATGCTAGATAAACCTTCTGTAAGTGGCACAAAGGGTAGGTAAAAAAAAAAGTGACTTATTTTCATTTCTAGCTATAAGTAGACTACTGATTTGACAGATCATCTAAATTACAAATAAACAAAATCATCTTTGTTGATCAGCAAAGAGAAAAAAGTACATTAACCTAAACCAGAGGTTCTCAAACTTTTTGGGTTCAGGGACCCCTTACTGGGAGAAAAAGTTTCAAGGACCCCCTCATAACCCTCATGTTTATTAAATAATTTTCTTCAGTTTGTCTCTTTAATGCAATGGAAATATTTGTGGAATATAAATACTTAGACCTGTTCTTTAATAGGGTTACTACAATTTTTATAATTTTAAACATGCGGCCTTTTTCATTCAAGTCACACATAACTATTTTTTTTTTTCAACTTCCAAAAATTACAGTTTTGAGAAAATTAACAGAATTAAAAACCACTTTAAGACTTTACCTATTCACACAAAGAACATAATAAATGTATCGCCACTTCTTCATAAATTATTATAGAAAACTCTACATAAATATTTTGAATAAAGTAGATGTGATTTTGTGCATTTTGCTGTATTTTAGCGGGTTGTTAAACATCTACGTGCTTGTGAAAAAAAAATATATATATTTTTTTATTATTAATAATAATGGTTTTTTTTTCACGGACCCCCAGGGGTCTAGGGACCCCAGTTTGAGAACCACTGACCTAAACAATCTAAGCTTTAAAATAAAATAATTCATTTAGACTTAAACACTAATAAATAATAAAAATTATCCGCCGCTCACTTATACACAACAGTTTGGATGTCATGACGTAATTCACAGTTAACTGCCTCTCTTCCCTTCTCGTGCGGTGACAAGTAAAGACGTGGATTTCCCTCAAGGGCTAAACCCGTTCCACTCAGCGGGTTCCACAGGAGATCAGACCAAGACTACCAAGCTCGTAGAGAAGTATGAGAGTGGTGCGCTGTGAGAACAGCATCCACTGATGTGCAGTGACAACGTGTCGCGTTAAACACAGAGCTGCGTTCAAAGCAAACAGGCACAACAACAGAGGGCCATCGCTCAGCCTGTAAAGTTTATTTAATGACTTAAAGTCAAATCTTCTCAAAGTTCGGTCTGGAGAAAAACACAAAACACAGACAGACAGCTGGACAATGAGAGAACAGAAATGCATGAGCGAGAAAAGTGTTGGCAAGATTTAGAAAATACTTGTATTAATCAGCTGTTTAATTAAGGGGACTGCAGCTATCAAGTGTTCCAAGTATCCTGTCCATTAATTTATTGAAAAATGTGCAACACAGAATGCTTTCCCAACATTTGGAAAGACTACTTACAGCAATAAAATATGATTTACTTTTTAAACTAACCTTTGCACATCCCTGCAGTTAATGCACTTTAATTATTAGCATTAAACACCAACAGTCACACTATTTCATTTTAAATGCCAATAAAATTCTTGCTTCTGTGTTGATCTGCTAGACAAATAAACTTTCAGAGATGTTGATCGAGCTACAAATTAATCAACGAGGTTTCTTGAATATTTTTAAACAGTGATTTGCATGACTGTACACTGATTAAATGGAACTAGCTGCTGCCAAGCACAATGGTTACATTGTGTTTATCTACAACCAAAGTATATCTGAGAATTTTTTTTTTCTGTTTTATAATCCACAAAATCCACAAAACCCTCAGCCCTGTTGGTGAAATAGCTGCAGAAACTGTGGTGATTTGTCTCCCTGTCTGTGTTTGGCAGGAAAGGGGCAAATTGAGAGAAACCATGCATATTGCAGGAGGTCAGATACAGCACTTAATGCTTGATTAACCAAGCAAAACGTGTATTTAAAGCATATCTTTAAAAAAAGAACATTTCAGCTATAAAAATGTCATCCACCCCTGTTGAAATTTGTGATTTAAAAATACAACAAATATATAAATACACAACCACAAAGTTGTTTATAGCTTTTCTTGCCATTATGTCAATTTTTTTTTCTTGTTGTAAAATAATTGTTTGACAACAAAAACAGTGTAGAATATTTCTGATTTCTTTTTTTATTTACTTTTGACCTATTTCTTTTTTGTTTGTTTTCTCCTTGTTATTTTCCATCCTCCTGCATCACTTCATCTAAATAACATTACCTCTACACAAACATACGCATAAGGTGTGTGCCCGAAATAGCTGTCTCTGTGAAACACAGTGTGGATTAAACAAAGCAGCAAATCAATAAAATATGTAATCAAGTTTCCAGGTCCCTCATTGAATTGCTAATATAGAGACATAATTAAATATTTAAATTAAAGCACTGAGACTACCTGCAGGCTCTTCCACCTCAAGTTGAGTTGGTCCAGTTGTCTGGAGGCGGTGGACGACAGCTGGATGTCCAGCGGTGTGAGCTCAGCAGCGAGCTCGTTGACGACACGAACGTCTCGACAGAGAGGGGTGATCTCCTCCCTGAAGGCCTGGACAGAAAATTAGATGGCATCATGTTTATTCTGTAAACAGTGCAAGTCTCACACTAGAGAAATAAATGCTGAGAGTTCAACTCTGCTAAAACTGGCATAAAGAAGTCGAAATTGAGTTGTAGCAGAACACTAGCTAAAACAGCAAAAGGCTGACAAAAAGCAAGTTACAAGCAAAAAATAGCAAAAGGTAAGCTAAAGATACAAACAGCAAAACATTAGGTACAGTAGACGCTAAAAGTAGCAACATTTAAACTAAAGACAGCAACAACCTAGCTAAAACTATTATTAACTAAGGGCTAATGAAAATCTAAAATAGCAAAAAGGTAGCTGAAAGTATGAAAAGGCAAGCTTAATGCTAATAGTAGAAACTGGCGGGTCAAAAGGCTAAATAAAAAGCGAGCAGTAGCAAACTATAAATAAGAACAGGTAAAAGCTAAAGTATAGCTAAAAGACATACATAACAAAAAGCTAGTGAAATGCTAAAGTAGTAAAAGGGAGGCTAAAAAAACAACAAAACAAAAGTAGCAATAGGCTAGCTGAAAGCTAAAAATATTAATGACTAATAGCTTAAAGTAGTAAAACTGTACCTAAACTATAAAAGCAGCATAAAAATAATAAAATGAGCCAGTAAGCTGAAGTTGATCTTAAAGAGAATAATATATTTGAAGTAATTGAAGAAATCTTAAAATCTTTCCATGGGGAAACATTTGGTGTAATGGCACCTATGAATGAGCTAAACATTTTGTTAAAAAAAAAGATATATATAAATATATATATAAAAGTACAGAAAAATAACCTGATGCATGCTCAATAATCCAGGTAGAAAAATCTAAAAAAAAGTTAAATCTGGTCCTCTGGACATTCGAAACAAAGCAAAACAAAAAAGTACAGAAAAATAACAAAAAACTGAAAAATAGTGCGAGTGCTGAATCAGCATACTTGTAGATTACACTGTGTGTTTGAGGAAACATATGAGAGAAGCATTACAGCTGCTAAAAAGTCTCTTAATAGGCTCTTTAATGTGAAGTGGCCCCTGACTCTTTAATGTGAAGTGGCCCCTGGGAGATAGATGTGAGTGAACAAACTGTCCACAGCAGACACTCAAACATCTGAGGTGGACAGGAACGCTGCAGTTGTGCATCCACGTGCAACCTGTGAGTTATATGGTGATTTTCTGTGCCATTCATTTCCAACTGTCATCTTGTTATTGTTCTGCTCTCTAACATGAGTTGTTTCTTAGCCAACCTCTTTGAGAGGAAAAACAAGGATTTGATGAATGCTACATAATAATGCTGAGAATCACTGAACCAAAACGTAATCAAACTGAAGGGAATAAATACAAAAAGGAGCCTAGAATAATGTGTTTCAGTGCACGTCTGATCAAAATGCTGCTGAATATATCTCTATGACTCAGCGACAATTTATTCTAAAAGTTTCAGTACAATCTTAGCAACATTTCTACATTTTAAAACTAATGCACAGTTTTGTTTTTGATCTGAAACAGCTTCAACTCACTGTTGTTTTGTCGATGTGGTCCTGGAGAGAGTCGATCAGCAGATCACCGACCGGCTGCCAGGAAGCTTTGACCTCCTCTGCCCGCGTCAGCTGCAGGTCGAGATGGTCCATGGAGCTCTGCAGGTCCTGGAGTCGCTCTAAAGCCCGCTCCACCTGGCTCTGCCAGCCACCCACGTGACCCCTCAAGCGCTCCCACCGCTCATTCACCTCACCAGTCTGTTTGCGGATGGCCCGGGCCAACGCTCGAGCCTTCTCCTCCGGGGTGAGATCTCCTGGAAACGGAAATTACTTCATTGTGCATACTTTTATCCCATGTAACTTACTTACACTACCTCTGTCTGGTCACAGGGGCAGCTCAAAGAACTGTCAGTGCTCATACTAAAATACCAAACACATCTCTATTATTTTAACTAGGTCTCAACAATAAAGCCAAAACACAAGAGCAAAAATTTTTTAACAATAGCTGAAAAAAAATTCCCTCAAAAGATCAAACTGTTTACATTTTTTTAGCTGAAACATACAAAAGGAACGGAACAAAACAACAACGTAAACTATGATTTACAACATCTGTACATGATGTGAATCCATGAAATAAAACCTGTTCAAACTTTATTAGAGCTTAAAGCTAATTAAACCCAACAGAAGCACACAGCGCTCAAATTCTTAATCAGATTCACCTCCTGCTCATGATGGTTACCTCCAATTCCCAAGATAATACCAGCTAAATGGCAACTCATTATTATATGAACAAACAGGTGGAAAAACTGAATATTTTCTTCCTTTTTTATATTCAAACTGAATTGGAAATTAGAAAAAGGGGTGAACTCTACAAAGGAGAATTAAAGTGTCAAACAATAAGAAGTATGGATAAGAAACATTATGGAGAACGGTGCAAGAAGCAGGCATGACCGGAGTGGCCTGCAGAAAGGAAAAACAGGGCCGAGGCAGTAAAGGTGAGAGGACGGGCTAACTACTAAACATCAGAGGGTACCACCAGAGAGACTGAGCAGATTACAGCTCCCTTGATACCATTTGAACTGTGGAAAAATATGAGCAGCTTTTAAGTTCCAAGGTCTCGTCTCATGTGTAGTGACTGAAAAACCATCTTCACCTGTTGCGCCTCAATAATCTCTTCCTCAGCCACCTCGCTACAGTCTGATTTAAGGAAGATGCATCACGCAGGCACAGGCTCACTGGTCTTTGTCTCTTTTCATAAAACAACCTGCTTTTGACCAATGAGTCAAATTATTCAAACTGATGATTCAGAATTTAGTGAATTACAGCCACTTGAAAGCTGGACTAAATTCTTCAAATCACTGAAACCTTTCTTTTTGAGAAAACACTGAAATGTTTTCTTGTTCTGGTTTACTTTCACAAACTAAAAAATTGCTTAAATCTGACCGGCACAGAAAAGGACCAGCTGTCAGTCACTACTGACCGCAGGTGAATTAATCAAAAAAATTAAATTAATACAGTCAGGCTCGCTTCATAGACAGATACAGAATATTAGAAGTTCCCTAATCAATGTGTGTTTTCATCTAACTAAATACAAGACTTGATTAGTGTAAATAAAAGAATTATTAACAATTTTAGGAGAACTAGTACACTTAAAAATGTATTTAAATGAGGATACTTGCAAGCTAGTTTTAGCTGCTGCTGTATCTTCAGTTTAATATGGTATTTTATTAAATATGTATGGGAAAGGCCAACGGCTGATTTCTTCTACGGAACTTAGAATTGGTCTGCTGAGTAATCAATCTCTAAACTAAATGAAACTAAAGAAACAGGAAGCTTTTCAAGTAAAGTGTAAAAATGACTATAAAACAAAACAGGAAGAGTGGTTTTCTTCTTGAAATTTTAGGATTATCTTGATAAGGAGTTTGCAGGTTGTTGCGTTTTTATAACACGTTCAAGTAGAACTTAAAGTACTATAAAGTACTGTAGAAAGTACTGTACATAAATGCTTTTGTATGAATAAATATTACAAACCCGTCTTTGGCTGCAGGTTCTTCCGTGGCTCTCCAGGACCCTCAATGGGTTGGTCGGCGAGAAACATCCTGGCCTGGTCTAAGGTGCTGATCATCAAATGCTCACGTTCCTTCAGTTCGGAGCTCAGTGCCTGCAAGAAAAACACAAAACAATGATCAAGGTTCATGCTCAATAATCCAGGTAAAATAATTAAAGGGCTTTAATGCTCAAGAAAAGGGTAAAATCTGTGAAGATGACAAGAAATAATACAAAAATGGTGTCACTTCCAAACAGCTTTCTACTT